CGCTTTTGAAGCATAATCCCGCTGCTGAGTAGACTGCATTGCAAATTCTTTGGCTGCATGATCATGAAACACCGGGCCGCATCCAGGACATCTTCCAAGCCAGGCAATGGCTCCTGCTTCCAGCAGGACTCCATTCTCCTTCATGTTGGAGTGTTTCTGGAAAGACTGCACGCACAGCAAGCGATGCATGTCCTTCCCAATAGGGATTCATCTGCGCTGCTCAGTGCTTTCCATATAACATTTCGGTGAGTTGGAGACAAACTAAGTTGAGTGCTAGAATATTAAATTACTCTCAGCTCTCAAATAACAGCAGACTGCCTTTATTGCTGGCTGTGTTGCAGGATGAACTACATTAACAAGTAGCCTGTCCTCATCTTTGGACCAGAAGCAGGAGTCTTATTGTGGTGGGAGATGCTGCTACGATTAGGACTGTTGCTTAAATGAGCGTGTCTTATTTGTAGCTGGATCAGATTTCACTATAAGTTACCACATGTTAAAAAATAAAGGTCCTGGCAGGCGTGTATCCTATTCACACAATGTTCCTCGCTAATTTTGCCATTAAAAAAATAATCCCAGAACCAATGCCATTAAAAGCCCAATACCATAATTTAACAAAAAAAAGTCCGGCATAGTTTACTGTGATTTGAGAGGAAGACCTGTACCTGACATTTTTTTGTTAAATTATCCTGCTTCTCAAATCACTTATTCATTCTGCATAATTTCTGCAAGTAAATTTAAGTCCTAGAAAATGAACAGACAGACTTTTTAAACTGCCAAAGTGACCTGCTACGTCTCATATATTTCACTAAGAGTTTAAAAACAGCTCCAAAAATCTCACTACTACAGAACATCTAAAAACTCCCATGGACAGTTTTTATTCCATAGTGCGCCACATACAGAGTTTGAGAAAAGTCCAGGATACCTAGGTAATATAGAAGCAACCTCTTAACTAGTTCAGTCATCAATAAATCCTATGAATTAATGATTATGAATGAACAGAACATTAACTTCTGGATTCCTGCTGTGTTTTGGTGGAACATGGAACAGTTCTACAAAACCCAATGACTACCAATATAACAAGCAACTATTATAAAGAGTCAAGGTCTCCATTTCATCATTTTAAACAACTTCTAGCTTGTCCCATATCAGGCTCTGGAGTTTTTAGCCAGCTCCAGGGGGGACGACTGGGGTAAGCACGCTGCTAGCAAAGACCCAATTTCAAGAAACTCTCTCGTCCACAGAGCTGTTTATTCACAATTTTAGGAGCCAGAAGTCCAAACCATTCTCTGTCACACAAAAAGACATATTAAGGGTCTTGAGGAAAAAAGAGCCAGAGTTTTCAACTGCAACAACTTCAGCAAATTATTACTAGGGCATGAAGCTGCATGGGGACCGAAGATCCTTGAGGCAGCTCGATCCCACCCTTGCAGATCTGTTCCTCCTGTATCCTATGACACTATGGCTCACCCAGAAGCTGTGCCATTATGGGAGCACTGCTGTGCACTATCTGGAAGAAGAGGAGAGCTACAGATCGTCACTCCTTGCTGTTCTGATCGTCATTAGGGTAGGTGGGGAATTCTGCACCAGTATCTGGGGGTTCCTATGGGGTTCCTGCATAGCTGCAGGAGAGGGGCTCTGCTCCTATCTTCTGTGAGTTTTAAAAATGTCCGGCATAGTTTACTGTGATTTGAGAGGAAGACCTGTACCTGACATTTTTTTGTTAAATTATCCTGCTTCTCAAATCACTTATTCATTCTGCATAATTTCTGCAAGTAAATTTAAGTCCTAGAAAATGAACAGACAGACTTTTTAAACTGCCAAAGTGACCTGCTACGTCTCATATATTTCACTAAGAGTTTAAAAACAGCTCCAAAAATCTCACTACTACAGAACATCTAAAAACTCCCATGGACAGTTTTTATTCCATAGTGCGCCACCATACAGAGTTTGAGAAAAGTCCAGGATACCTAGGTAATACAGAAGCAACCTCTTAACTAGTTCAGTCATCAATAAATCCTATGAATTAATGATTATGAATGAACAGAACATTAACTTCTGGATTCCTGCTGTGTTTTGGTGGAACATGGAACAGTTCTACAAAACCCAATGACTACCAATATAACAAGCAACTATTATAAAGAGTCAAGGTCTCCATTTCATCATTTTAAACAACTTCTAGCTTGTCCCATATCAGGCTCTGGAGTTTTTAGCCAGCTCCAGGGGGGACGACTGGGGTAAGCACGCTGCTAGCAAAGACCCAATTTCAAGAAACTCTCTCGTCCACAGAGCTGTTTATTCACAATTTTAGGAGCCAGAAGTCCAAACCATTCTCTGTCACACAAAAAGACATATTAAGGGTCTTGAGGAAAAAAGAGCCAGAGTTTTCAACTGCAACAACTTCAGCAAATTATTACTAGGGCATGAAGCTGCATGGGGACCGAAGATCCTTGAGGCAGCTCGATCCCACCCTTGCAGATCTGTTCCTCCTGTATCCTATGACACTATGGCTCACCCAGAAGCTGTGCCATTATGGGAGCACTGCTGTGCACTATCTGTTTGGAAGAAGAGGAGAGCTACAGATCGTCACTCCTTGCTGTTCTGATCGTCATTAGGGTAGGTGGGGAATTCTGCACCAGTATCTGGGGGTTCCTATGGGGTTCCTGCATAGCTGCAGGAGAGGGGCTCTGCTCCTACCTTCTGTGAGTTTTAGGACCTCCTTACAGCCAAGGGGAAAATTTGACCCAAAATAATCAGTCTTACAACACTAAGCATTTCTAATCTTTAATACTCATGGTAGCAACAACAGCTGTACACTACCAGATAATAAAGAGACTTTCCCTCTCAAAAGGTCCTTGCATAGAAGGAAGAGTGCGTATTAGCCAAATAAGCAGGTCCCTCTGTTATTCCCCAGGAGGCACGTCTTACAAAAGACAAAGTGAGGAGGGAAAAAAAAAAATAGTCACAAGTTAAACACATTTTGCTCTGAGGTCTTTGTACACAGGACAGGGCTGGGGGTGGCAGGAGGATCTGTTAAAGTCAACGCTACCCATCAGCTAGAACAGAATAACCCTTAATATAAATGTCTTCCAAGACACCGTCATGCCAAGAATTTGCACTTTCAGGTGTGGCAGCTCCTATCTAAACACTATATATCTTATTAAATGACCCTCTAACAATACACACGTACCGAGCAAATAACACTACAGAGCCAATCCATTCTCCTCTTCCCCCCAGGCTCTAAACGTTATGGCATGCAACTTCCATTTAGACATTGAGTGTGTTGCAAAACAAAGCAAGTTGCACTTAAAGAACTTTCAGCTGAGCTGTGCTCTGTAACCTGAAGTCTTAACGTGCCCACAAGCACAGCGCACTCTGAACCACCAGCTCAGGAGAATGATGGCTCCATGCCATACTGCGGAACATAAAATAAGTTAAAACAAGTAAATACCAAAACACTAACATTAAAGCTAGCTCAGCACTCAGATGTTTACAGCCTGCACAAAGTTCCTTGGTTAAAGTTTTGTAAGAAGACTGGAGCAATTCTACTCTTGAGGAAAAGAATGAAAGCTGCAAGAAGCTCTACCATAATGTGCAGCTCTTTAGGGCTCTGTTTTAGAATACTGAGCTTAGATATAGGCACTAGTACCAGCCCATTTAAAGGTAGTTTGTCAAGCAGTAGCAAAACACAAGTATAAATATAAGCACCTTTAACTTCTTTAGGATAGAGATGGCCTTTTGCTGCTGGTATATACAGCATTGGTGCTTTGGAATTTCCACGCCTCGACCAAAGATGTACCTAACAGGAATAACAATGGATGAAAAAGATGAAAGAAGCAGAATTGCCTAAAAACCTCCCAAAGAACCAGACCACCATAAAGAGCCAGGTAAAAGAGCTAGCACTGCTGGAGGCCTGGGAGAACTTCTTTCCTTTACACAAAGGATACTTGTTCATTTTAATTTAACTGCATCCCTCAAGGCCCAAATACCACTTTTAAAAAGTTCAGCTAAGTCAGTAAGTCATTCTCTAATAAAAGGACAAAAGTGTTCACCACAGGTAAGAGCGGCAGGTTTAGCAGTTCATACAAGCAGCAGTTACAGATGGAGATACAACTGAGATAGAGTACTTGGGCATCACACTTGCTGTGAGCTTACATCAAGCTAAACAAACATGTTACACGGGACAGGCTGGAGCTAGCTGAACGGTCCAAATGGACACGTTAACACCCAGCGACTCCAACCTGACGAGCCAGCAATGATGTTCTGCTAGAGGCTGAGGCAAGTCTTTAAAAAGTTATGGCTTTTTTTCTCTCGTTCAAACTTCCTAATTACCACCATCATCTTATTAAACGTTAAAAACAAGGCAAAACTGACAGCAGTCTGCCCTTGGCTATTGCCTTACTGTCAAGAGTTGCGAACCCTGCTTATGCCTCAATTAGGGCAGGGAGACGAGAGCTGCAAAGAAGTGTTTCAATCGAGAAATGTGACGTTAGCCACTGAAATTCAGTCTGCTGTTCAAACCTGGATCTCCCACATCTCAGCTTTTTATTTTGTCCTTCTGATTAAATAAAAACGGTTAGATGACATTCAGATGCTTTCCTGCTTACACTTCGGTTTTCTCTCCTTATCAAAACACCCTTTTGCCTATCTAAACCGCACTAAACATGCCCGCTATAAAGCGTGCCGCCACTTGAACGTCTGTGTTCCCGCTCATCTGGCAAACGCACAGGATCAACTCACACGACGAGGTTGAGGCTTTAGGGCCTAAACAGCTGAAAGGACTAGCCTTTGAGACGACTGAGTCTTTCAAAGACTCAATATTAAGAGTAGAAAAACAGCATAAAGTGGGACAGGGCCAGTTCATGTTCGACAACTCCGAGCTGCACAAGGCAACTTGTGCTCTGAGGATGTTGGGCATTGTGCTTCATTAGGAAACAAAATATAAGCTTTCCACTCCATTAGGAATGACTTTAGGAGTGAAAGCACATAAGACGACGACTCACCTCATCAACAATGCACTGCAATAACTGGAGAGGCTGCAATGGAAAGAAGAGAGGGAAAAAGTATTAGCCTATGTGCAATATCTTTACAGTGGAGTGGAAAGAAAAAATCATTAATGCAATAAAATATAGCAAGATTAATCAACAGCAGCAAACTCTTATAAAAACATTGATGCTCAGGATGTTCTATTATTTCTAATGGTACCTAATCTAATACAGGCAGTTAAAGGTTTGCATTTTCTTCAAAATGCAATTTGCTAAGTTTAAAACAAGGCATTCAAGCATGCAGAGGAAGCAGCCATCAGGAAAAAGAAAAGTGAATTTTTTTCTGAACTCATAAAGCTTACCATTAAAGATCCCTGGTTTTTCTGAATCTGAAAAAAGGCAATATGTAATTAGCATGTCATAATCAAAATGACTCACTTGGACACATTATGATCACTGAGAGAAAATTATTGCATCGCTGGTGGCAATTTGTGGGCATGTGTTAACACAATTTACATAATGAAAATACACAAATGTTAATAGCTCGCTTCTCATTTATAGGCGAAAGTCAGCAGAATGTTAATTTCACACAACACTTTTTAGTACCCTCCAGGTTGTATTAGAATAGGAAGAAAAACCATAATCCATTTCAAAAGGCTGTTTACGATTCAGATATAAATAATGTTTTATATTGCTAGATTGTGAACACTGGGCTTAATGTTGCAATCATTGCTAATGTTATGAAGCTCACTCTTTTTAAATTAAAAACCGATTTATTTAAAATTGAAATTAAATCATAGTCAGAAATTAGAATTTTGGATTACTGCCAGACTCTGCTCACAATCCCTTTTTTGTGAAGAAAACTTTAATTATGTGGTTGAAGTATCGACCGCTGCTCAGGAAAGCCTTTAATACTCCACTTTTATCCAAGTTTCTTATATATTCCAACCCAGTTTTGCTTTGACTATAAGCAGAGCATTGCCATCTGTGAGGCTGGAAAGTTTGATGAACTTTGTATTGTTTTAAATGGCAAAGGAAAGACTTGTTATCAGTCATCTCTGAGCCTTTCTTAAACTTCTTAGCACCAATCTGGTTGGGAAATGAATTAACAGTTTGTAGTAACAGACCATTCGATTGCTTACAGAGAGCTACAAAATATCCTGGCCCATATTGGCAAAGCACCTTTCGATTACAAAAAGAAACAAAGGCAGAATGACAATACAAACAATTAAACACCAAACACAGAGCAGGTACTTAATGCAAAATATTTCACTGAATTTAGGGATGCTGGTATTCTGATAACTTGTATATGCATACCATTTCTAATGGGTGTTAATGTTGATTACATATTTTTCCTAAACAGACACAAAGTTGCTTGCAACCCAACATAATCACGATGCAAACAGAACGCAGTCCTTAGTGAAAATGCTGTCTTCTGTTCTAACGCAGTTTATTTGGCTTGCCCCTTACATTTAATATTCTCTGTTGTATAGTGCCATGATGATGAATGTTGTAGGGCTGCCATCAGCTTTGGAAGCGCTCTCCCCCAATACCCAGCCAGAGGCAGGATCCTCTAGTGATACTTTACAGGTAGTAAAATGTAATATAGAGGAGGTTGAAAACTAGCACTAAGAAAGGAGCTGGTATTATGCACGTGAAGTCTTTCACTATTGTATTAAGAGTGTACAAATATACACATAAGGTTTCTGTGTATAATTCTATTTTTTCCACGGAAGAAAAGAATATAATAAACAGATAGAAGTAGCCCATTATATATTTTAATGGTCAATGTCAGTCTACTACAATTCCACAGAATAAATTTGCTGTTTTGCATTATTGCTAATAAGCAAAATATTCTGTGGATATAAAAAGACTTTTTTTCATACTTCACTTCCAGATGCTAAATGACAAAATAGACCCAGCTTATTCAATAGGGATCATTGGGAGCTCCTTTAGATTAGCACACATGAACAGGCGATTCAGTTTTTCATCCAAACAGAGTATCAGTCACGTTTCCTTACTGGGAAAATAGGTCTTGTCATGAAAAGGAATACAGGTAGGATCATATATTGTAGCCTTAGCACAGATATGATTACATCCAATTTCAGAACAAGATTTAAAATATTATTTCTAATAAAAGCGCTCAGTGCTTCTAATGAAAAATAAAGCAACGCAAATCGAAGTATTACAGAATTCTTCCTGTGACATTGCAACTCTCCGCCGGAGCAGCAGGCCCAGCTTCTGCGAGAGGGAGAGCCGTGTGCTCACTCACACACACATCGTTACCGAGTTTTATTACACAATTTTGATGGCGACATATTATTTTGAGATCATCTTCATAAATTTTGCATTAAGGTAGTTGTGCCAGTACCTGGAATTGATTCAAAATGCTTAAGACACTCAATTACTTTTTAACACTGTTACCCGATGTAATGACATATCTGCTATTTCCCTTGCATTTGATGATGCAACATCATTGTAATTGATTCATTTTCTCAATTAAATAAAGCTACTGTGCTTTCCTCTATGCGGATGCCACAGAGACTCCCCCGTTAGATGTATTACCTATTTTCTCTGTCTCAGATATACTGCTTGTAAGGCTGCACTGTGCTCCTCTGTTAACTCCACTAGAAAATGCAACGTTACAGTCGTATTTTTCAAGTTCTGAACAGCAATGAACTTAGCTGTATTTATATTAGGCATATTTTTCACTGTTAAAACTATGTTGTTTACCTTTTCCAAGATCACATTATTGGGCAGCCTCTGCAACTATAAACCAAACCTAACTGACGACAACTTTACAGTCAGTGCCTCTCCTTTTGCACACAGTTCATGAAAAAGTGAAGCATCCGGTTTTATAGCACATTAAGAACATTTTAAAAGTACTCATCATAAAATGTTTTATCTTCCTGTTCACCCACGCTCCTTTTTTTCCTCCCCTGTCTGGTTTTCATGCACTACTAGGAGATAGAAGTTTAGGAGGCAGGTTCACCTCGAGGGATCCAAGTGCAGTGGCTGCAGCTCAAAAGCTCGAGCATGTGGCATGTCGCATCCCCTGTGCGATGCTCAAAAAACTCAGCGATCGGGAAGGAGATTGTCACTGTCATGTTTTTGTACTTTCCATGAAGAATTTCAAATAGTGAAATGGTAGCAGTGACACAACTGAAAATCCTGCTTGAAAGGAAGACAAAAAAGGCACAGTGTGCATTTTAAGAGCATCGAGGAATGCTTTGATGCGCTCGTTAAAACATCATTCTCATCTTGGAAACAACCAGCAACACGCTTCCTCAGCCATGCCAGAACATGTGTAAGCCCCTGACCTGCTCGTCGCTGGAAAACCCAGTTGGTCAGAAGGTTTTGTAAGCTTTTCATATGCAACTGAAATTGTGTGAATTTGCAGAATTAGATCAGCTATTTAATATTTTTGAACCTGTATTGTATTTGCTGTGTTTTTACTTACTGCATGTGATAGTTTATAATTTGAAGAAGCAGGGCAAATGATAAATAAATCTATCATGTTAACAGTCTGTTTCTCAGGTCACGGAATATTAGTGGTATCTGGATAAACTACTCCATAAAACGCATTCTCCAAATGGCATTTTTTTTTAGGTTGGTTAAAAATGCAAAAGTTTGCCTCCTGCTTCATCTACTATTTAATGAATGCCTCTGGTTATGAAAAGCAACTTTTGACAGACCATCAGGTTATATTTCTGTCTCCATGGAGATACTTTGGACGGGAAGTGGCTGAGAAGACCTCTACCATCCCTTTCACATTATATTCACAAGCACAATCAACAAAACTCAAATGAATCCACCCCGGGTAACTTAGAGGAGTCACTAGCTATAGCTTTAATTTTTGCTTTTACTCTCTGGAATTAGGACTTGCCCTGGAGCTCTTGTTTGAGAGATTTGCAGGTGACCCAGGGTTAGATCTTCCCATATCAGTTAACAAATTTTCTCTTTACATATATACTGCTTTTCAGGCTAGTGATATTTTTTTTAAATAGAAAAATACATATACCAACAAATCATACAGTTATGATTTTTAAGGGAGGCTTCACAGTAGAACATTTATTTTCCTAATCCAGGAAACTGTGGATTTTAAAAGTACATATAACTTACTCTTAATCTTTACTAATGAAGGTTAAGTTTTATTGAACAGCAGAAACGACGAACATCTCCTATTGGCAAATGACCAACACAGACTTGCTTTGTCTCTGCCCTGATATAAATGGAAAAGGAATACGTAAGCGTACTGCATTTCCACATGGTCTTCACCACCATGGGTTTTTACTCTTCCTCTGGAATGAAAGCATGATCTTCAGACATATTTTACAAAGTCTTGCAAAACTGAATAGTTATACTTCTGAAAGAAGTCAAAGCACCAAAGCCAGGAAGACTGACCCCACTAATTTGTTCCTGACATTCTGAACACCCTCCCCCAGTCTGTGGGTTTTGCAAATGGCAAACTTCAATCACTGCCACAAAACAGAGGACAAAAAAAAGGATAAAAATAATTTCAAAATAAAAAAAAGACAATTCACAACAACCTTAATATTAAATATATTCTTACAATTATATTACGCTGGTTTTCCCAGAGGTCTACAAACGAATTTATATAAAGAGATTATTTCATCCACCATTGAACTGCAGCCACTTGTCACAGAAATCTGTTTACCAGAGTTTAGTAACACAATTCAACAAAGTGGGCATGAAAAACTACACACTGTTGAAATTATGGAGGGAGTGTAAGAAGCCAATAATAACTGCTACACTGGAGCAGGACCAGGATGCTCATGCCTCAGTCAGCAGGAATGTGGGACAAGCAAGTCTTAGGAAAGACAGTAAATTTAGCAAACTGCTGTTTAAGACCTTGTTTCAGGCATCACAAAAAGTGCAGTAAGAAGAACAAAGGGTGGTCAGCCAGAAACCAAATAAAGGCACAGGGTTTAGTTCTAACCAGTTCTTGCTTAATGCCACCCATGTTTATCAAGTTTAGTGAAATGACCATCATGCTAACAGAGAGGAATACCGGGAGAACCTAGAGGATGCTATGGAAGAGGAAAACTGATCACAGCTGAGCAGGAATAATGTCATGATGCTAAAAAAAGAAAAAAAAAGGGGGGGGGGGGGATGGAAGAGAAACTGACCACAGCTGAGAGGAAATAATGTCATGATGCAAAAAAAAAAAAAAAAAAGGGGGGGGGGGACAGGGGACACAAACACCATAGTGGGATGTCCAGGGAGGCAGGGAGGCTGAAGTCACAAAAGGTTATCCTTTCTCCATGCAGCACCGGAGTGCTGTGTCTAAGTCTGCGCACCCCCTGAGAGCTGCGGGCCAGTTGGAGAAAGTTCAAAGAAAAGCCACAAGAACAGCCAGAAATCTGGA